GTTGGGGGTTTCACTTTTACCAAAAGCTCATTTAGGTTTGAGTGTATGAGAAGAGCCTGAGAAACTTAGGGTTAGGATTTTCTTGGTACCCATATAAATAATCTTACTTTAGTCATGACTTGTCAAAGACAATTACAATCATATCAGAAAATTGAAAGCTTAGAGTACCCACACACTCTTCCCTTTCCCCTTTCATGAGAATAGTCTAGAAAATACTATCATCTCTTAGACATCTTCAACAAGGAGATTTCACTGTGTTACGAGGAGATTCCACTGTGGTTGTTTCCTACAAGGAGTCGCATTTGCAAGGAATCACAACACCGGGCAAAAGGGATCTCAATGTCCGTGCTAGAAGAGGTATATTCCTGACAAAAAAAAACTATGATGATTTATTGTATTCCAAGCTGCAATGATCTCTTACGTTTTCTTTTGCTCCTACATCTTTTGATGAGGTTCGGCTTGGTTCTTAAAGGAGTTTAGTTCTTTCGATTTTTTTGCAAACTCATAATAAAACACATCTCTGTGATCTTAATTCTTGTCAACATCACTCAATCAATGACCTAAATATATTTCTTATTGCTCATGTAGAAGAGACTAATTCCATCTAAATCAATTAGGGTGTGTTTGGTACAAGAGAAATTTTTTAGTGTCCAGGAATCATGATTTTCAGTAATATAATGAGGAATTGAGTTTACTGGGAATGGTATAAAAAAATTGTTTGGTAGACGTAAATATTACTGGAAATATTGAATAATTTTACTGAGTATGTGTTTGGTTAATAGTAAAATATTACTGGTAATATATGATGAACTTACGAAATTAACCTTTAACTTTTCAAAACACCAAACCTAAGTTTTGATGTGAGCTGGTGTATTTTTGTCTCCCAATATGCTTTTCAACTTTACCTGGTGTTGGATTCCTCAGTTACCACATATATTTTGGTAATTTGAAATTTTAGTTTTCTTTGTAAATTTGATTACCGGTAAACGAAGGTACCCGAAAAAGGCATGTTGTTAACTTATACCAAACATGGCAATTCACGTTTACCAATATAGCTTTACCAGTCATCTTCAAAAATACCTTATACCAAACACACCCTTACGTACATCGCTCTGCAATATTTGCAATATGACCAATAACTATCTTTTTCATCACTCAATTATATGTTAGATTTTACAATACTTTAGTTAAATACATATGCATCGCCACTAATATTTATTGTTAGGTAATTCTTGTCAATATCACTCAATCAATGACCTAAATATATTGCTTATTGCTCATGTAGGAGAGACTAATTCCATCTAAATCAATTACGTGCATCGCTCTGCAATATTTGCAATATGACCAATAACTATCTTTTTCATCACTCAATTATATGTTAGATTTTACAATACTTTAGTTAAATACATATGCATAGCCATTAATATTTATTGTTAGGTAATGACAAATTTTAATCCAAAATTTTAAGGTATTAAATTTATTAATTCTTCCATTTATGTAATCTTTATTTAGCCATTTCTAACAAATATGAAACTTGTTTTTTTTTGGTAAGCAACAAATATGAAACTTAATTCTTCATAAGTTATACTTAAATTCCAATATTTATTTATGGAATACAAATATTCTCATCTCTCTCTTTTTCAGCAACCTTATCTCATTTTCGTAATCCTTTATAGAAAATACAGCTTTAGATCTGGTTTTTGGTTATTAAAAAAAATAAAAAAATCCCGAAACGGTGTTGTCGTAAAATAATTGGACACCACAAAAGAAACCCAAAAACAAAAAGAACATATAAGACAAGAAGTTGAGTGCGGTGATAAGGATCAGAAGAACTGAATCAAAGAACATGTCAAGTCTCACATAGAAGTGGAAAGATTCAAATAAAGGAATTTCAATAAATTATTCTATGAAATCCGTTGTCTTCGTTGAAAGCTTACGTGTGACATCTTAAGAGGTCAAATTTTAAGTTTTTTTAATCATTGGACCGCATCCCATTGTCCACTAATTAGAAAACACGAGGGATGAATGCCATGAACAAAAACAAAGGGAATATTTTTTTTTTTTATGGGCCATGCTTTTTATTAGAGATGTTCGTTGACCGAATCAATCGCGGTGACCGAACTGAAAAATCAATAATCGAATAAATCAAAAATTCAAAAACAAAAAAAAATCGCAAATTTTAATTGGATTGGATTGGATTTCAGTTTGGTTAATGAAAACCGATCCAATATATTAATTCTCCTCTACCTGTTTAGGCATTTCCCCAATCATTGTCCAAAAAATTCTAAACTCAAGACTCGTTAACCCATCAACTAAACTCAAGAAAATCCTAGTCTCATCCCATCTGCAAAATTATCTGTGTAGAGTTTCATACCTCATTGTCCCAACAAAATTATATTATCGTTTAATGATACTTCTGTATTTCAAAAAAAAAAATTACAAAATCAATATATACAAAAGATATGTTATTTACACAATAATCATGAAACAAATTTTAGACTTTTTTCAAAAACCGAAAACCAATCAAATTCAAACCGAAAAAAATTGAATCGGATTTAAAAAAAAAAAATCCAAACCAAATGAATAATTACATCATCAAACTGAAGAGATTGGATCGAATGATTTTTCTTCCAAAACTGATCCAAGATGAATTATGTCTTAAACAAATCCTATGAAATATGCCGAACGACATTTGTATTCCAATAAGGGAAAGACGACATTTAAGCCAAATAAACATCTTGTAGGTGAGAGCCATTTCTGTCGCGGCCATGTGATCTTCCTTATTGGATAAAAGTGTGGCCATGTGATTGTTCGTGGAGCATAAACGCTTTCATGACCTACACAATGATGCAAAGGATTTGGGGTGGACTAGAGGGAATTTTGCCTTTACTAATGCTTTGTTGACTCAATCTAATTAATCTAGTCCATAATTTAAGGTTTAGTGTGAAAAAGGACAATCTAATATGAATGGGCTTGGTCGGCTTAGACTTTCATTTATGTTTAATGAGAGGAAGAACCAATTAAATTATCTTAATCCAATATGGCCAAAACATTGTACATTTGTTTTAGCCAAAACAAATAAAAAAAAGAAAAATGTACATTCGTGACTTATAGAAACAAAATGATCTTGATAGAGATGCACAATGAACCCAAAAGAGATATAAGATATTTTATGTTGCTTTGATATTATATTAACATGCTTACACGACCTTCCAATAGAATTCTTCAAATTAAACTCATGAATGTGTATAAATAGGTTGCCCTTGTTATCTTCTGAGTTACTACACTCACAGTGATATATAGATATATATACTTAGCATTTGAGCTACTTGTTTTCTTGCCATTTGAGTTCTTGTAAGACCATGGCTACTTCAATGATGTCAAGAGTGTTTTTTTTCTTCCTAATTATTCTTCCATTACTTGTTGTGAGTTCAGAGGCAAGAATTTTCCCTAAGTTCTCAACCATGATGAATAAAAAGATTAACAGTGAAGTACTTTTACGTGACTTGGTCAGCAATGTACCAAATAGAGAGTATCTCCGTGAGAGGTCAATGCTGGGTGGAACACTGGAGAGAATACAACCTGCAGGGCCAGATCCTCAACATCACTAGTGTTACTATGCTAGAGGGAAATTTGACTGAAGTGACTAATCTTTATATTGCTCTTTATCTTAGAGTGAGATGATTATTGATTAGTTACTTTGGTTTTTTTTTTTCTTAAATGAAATAATCTCGATAAGATTATTTCTCTTTATCTCAGAAAGAATAAAGCTTCTAGTATTTTTAACAAATGTCCATTTTAGTCTTCAAAATATGTGTCGTTAGTTGATATTATATTTATAAATAAGGAGGGATTTTTTTGACTCCGGTGTAAAAGTAAAAAAAGTCTTACTCTCTATCTATCTCAGTCGTTGATTTCCGTTTCAAATTAACGGAAATCATCGGTTAAAATGGAAAGCAAGACTTTGTAGTCTTATACTAGAAGAGTCAAAAGACCCCTCTTTATAAATACATCAAAATAATTCATCAATGCAAAATCAAATGCGGATTGCGACAAGTCACGGCCAACTCCGAAAAATGCTATAGCGGGTTGTGGTTGCGAAAATAGCAGGATATCTGACAAAAAATAATGACAACAAAAATATTTTTTAAAGGTTGAGATAGAAGAAGTGACAGAGAAAGACGCAGATAGACTAAAAAATCCTTAAAAATTTTCTGTTAAACCTTTAAATTTAGGACAAAATTAATATTTTGCCTTATGACAACAATATGGCTACGATTTGGCCGCAAATGCAATCGCAATGGTCGCTATTGCATTCCGCCCCACAACTCCCATACCGCACGGCTCTCAGCGCAATTGCGGCGCAATTAACTACTATACATCAATGTCAGCTATTGTCTTTATCTTTTTTCTTTTTCTTTTGGAGAATTCAACTATTGTCTTCAAATCAGTCATTGAAACAACATTAAATTTGTCCATAAAAAGACCAAACTAATGTCATTTAATTATATGATCAAATAACCAATTATGAATGTATTCAAAACGTTCACTCTTAGGCGTATCTATATTATGGAATGGGGGCACCAAAACAAAAAAATTCTAATTCTTTAGGTAATACCGTTATAAAGGTTAAATCTAACCTTTTTCAAAATTCTACTGTGTTATCCTAAACCTAAAATTTTATAGTTCTGCACTCCATTCAATGATTTTCACTTTACAGGACGTGAGTACAAAGATCTTCGATTAATTTAAACTGCGTGCCTTGAAACCAACTTGCAGAGTGTCTTGTGATTGTTTGTTAGTAGTTAGTAGTTATGTGAGAATTAGTTGTTTGTTTACCATTTTATGGAAATAGATTATCTCCTATCATTTCACACAACGAGATTATGTGACGGGTTTTTAATCATTAATAGACAAATCAATGGTTATTAAAAAAAAAAAAAGGATTAGAACAAGTAAAGAATTTGAGAGAAGAAAAAAAGGGCTATAAACCCCGCAGTAACAAGGACCATAATGAATGGCCAATTTAAATTAATTTCTAGTATCAACACCTTCAGTAATAAACTGCTTTTACATTTCATTATTATATCATGATCTATACCTACTCTAAACAATGATTCTGAAATAGCAAAATAAGATTTATTTTTTGTGGATTATTAAACAACCCGCCAGACATTTATATGACAAGTTTAACTACTGATTGGCAAATTTGACTCCCTTTTCAATAGATGCTTTGAGTTCAGGCTTAAGGCTTTCAAGGCCTTGTTTCTCATAATCTGAAAGAGGACCCAAGCCCAGAACTTCCTCCACACCATTCTTCCCCAGCCTCACCTGCAAACATTTCAGCATGTTTATCAATAGCAAGAATAGACCAGACCAACAAAAGCACCATCTCCATAAACAAGGGGTAAAAAAAAGGCCGGTGCGCATGGCCTATCGAACGTGTACTACGTAAGCATGCGAGTCATACGTTTAAGACAAATTCCAATGCACAAGGCTCTCTAACTTTGTAATGGTAGGGGTAAGGGACGATTCACTCGATTCTACGTAGCTTTACCCTTGTATTTTTATAAAAAGACTGTCTCCAAGACTCACTGCAACCTTATTGCCGCTCCAGGGATGGGAGCCATATAATTAAATAAATTAATTAATTAAACAGTGTGTGGAAGTTCAATGACCTTGGAAGCAAAGAAAGGAAGTTCGGTAATATTGGACTGAACAAATGAGCACTCCACTACATCTGGGACACCATTAAGGCCCTTGAGGCAAGCATCAGCGAAAATGGCTCCAGCATAACTGTAAGAAACATAAGACAATCAGTTTTGGACCCTAAAATATGTCTTACCACCAGAATAAGTCCTTGAGGGTACAACAAGCATTGTTTGTCCATCAAATACTCTAATCATGCATGCCTATGATTCACAACAATTCTGTCCAAGACTCATCACCAATGCGTAATTGTCACATTAGCATTAATAATTTCAATCAATCATCTAATTTTATCTTAGTTTATTTGTATACTTGTTGAGATAAGCTATACTGTCTACATTTATATGCAATAAACAAATGAATTTCACATATTGAACAATTAAACCCAGACTTACGCCATTGATAAAGTTGCAGAACCCTTTCCAGCCTTAGCTTCAACAACTTCTGTTCCTCCTTCTTGAGTTCTCTTTGTAAGAGCACTAATTTCATCATCGCTCAAGTTGGCTTTAGGAGTTGCCTACAGAAACACAGAATAGTTAAAAAATTAGCAAGTACATATTAAGCTAGGAAATCAAACTAGATGTCAGTGGGGACAAAGGTACCTGAGAAAATAGTGGCAGAATAGTAATGCCTGCATGGCCACCTACAACAGGAACATTGACTTCTGCACACAAACATGCACAAACCCAAATCAAATATTGTGTACCACTATTAAATAAAGTATTGTCATCCAGCATTAAAAAACCTCAGCATAACCACCCTCCCCCCACCCCCTACCCTAAATAAATAAATAAAGATCACTCTTCTAATTTTCTTCTTGAAATCAGTCAGTCAGTGATTCTTCACAAAACAACTCACCACTCGAATCTGACCCTAACCCTCTTCCCATTTGTTCCATCTTTATGTCACAAAATAAGCAACAGTGTCAGTAACACACCAGGCAATACGTTACAGTAATTGTAAGTTTCCTACACTTCACATACCAGCAACTGGGACTTTGCCCTTCCCAGCATAGAAAGTCTTTGCCCTAACAACATCGAGGGTCGTAACACCAAACAGCCTCTTTTCATCATATGTCCCTGCCTTCTTGAAAACCTCAGCAGCAATGGGAACGGTGGAATTTACAGGGTTGCTTATCATGTTAATAAGGGCCTGATTCCATATAGAAAAACCTCAATATCAGAATGAGATTATAAAAGCCCATCAAACAAAACATAGAATAGAGCTGGTACACATTTCCACATTTTGATTTATCATGCTCCCACATTGATTACCGATTTCCAACTTAATAATCTCTATTCCTATACTTCTAAAAAGCAACTCAGTATCATATTACCATGTACACTTTTTAACCAAATGAATGGGGAAAAAGGGTTGAATGTGCCAACCATTCCATATTTCCATTGTTACTATTGGCCATCAAATCTAAAAACAAGTATTAATTCAATTCGAATCCCCATAATATTTTGATATGAATAACATAACCAACCACACAATCTCAGTGGTATATCACAGTTATTGCATTGCAACATCAACATCAACATCAACATCAACAACAACAACAACAACACCTTTATTCCAAATTAATTGGAGTCGGTGGTAGATGAACCCACATGAAAGATACAAAACGGTTGAAAAAAAGTAACAAAAAAAATAAAAAATAAATAAATAAAAATACACAAATAAAATAATAAAATAAAATAAAATGAAATAAAAATATATGTATATATAAATAAATAAAAGTAAAAAAGAAAAGGACAAGAAGAAGTGGGAGAAATGAAGGGGAAAAGGACTAAAAAAGGACCAACTAAGGAAAATTTTTAGCAGGTGACAAATGTAACACTAGTTTAGTAGTCAAACATTGTTTAACAATAAAGTAAATAATCAAATTAGTCCCTGAAAGATATAGTGTCAGTCATAGTAGTCTATGAATGATGGAAATTACACCTAAGGTCCCTGAATGTGCATTTCTTTAGTCAAATTAGTCCCTATATCAGGAAGCTCAAGAGGACTAATCTGACCGGTGGAATATACACTCAGATTAATTTGGCCGACTAAATGCGCATTTAAAGACCATGGTATAATTTTCATCATTCAAGGACTAATATGACCAACACTGTATCATTCATGGATTAATTTGATTATTTACTGTTGATCAATTAGGAAAGTATGTATCAAACTGCATTATACAAAAACCCCAAATTACAATTAACACGACTCAAAATCTTCAATAACACAGATGACACTGTTACATTATTAAAAAAAGAAAAGAATCATACCCATTGAAATGAACAAGCAAAGCCATTTGAAATTTAGAAAATAAAATAAGAAATACAAAATAAGCCCATCCCCATATAAACGATCATAATGTAATTCTAGTTTCCTCCACACACCAAGCTATTGTATATTCTACACAATCAAATTCAAGGCAAAACTGAACAGTATCATGCAACATTGATTCACAACCACAGAAAAAAAAAAAAAAAAAAAAACTAACATTGGGGCAGTACTTGGAGATAGCAATGCATAGCGATTTGACAATGCCGGCATTGATATTGAAAAGATCATCACGTGTCATTCCAGGCTTTCTAGGCACACCGGCGGGGATGATAACAACATCTGAACCCTCCAAAGCCTTTCCAAGCTCTTCTTCACCTTGGTATCCAACAACCTAAAATTCCAATGCAACCCCCCAGAAACGTTAAACGTCACAAAGTACATTAAAGCTTGCATTTTTGTAAAACCCTTGCAAAAGGGTAGATTCAGGGTACCTGAGATCGGGTGTTGATGTGGCTGACATCGGCGGCGACGCCGGGGGTGCCGCCTATATCGTAGAGAGAGAGGCTTGAAACGAGGGGATTGAGCTTCATCAGCAGAGAGAGGGGCTGGCCAATCCCGCCAGCGGCGCCGAGGACGGCGACCTTCCGGTCTGGGACTGACCCAGTGCCGTAGCCGCGGCGGCCGCCGAGGATAGAGGAGCCACGAGATAGGGCTGAGTGAAGGGACCTCAGCGTGGAGGGCTTCATCATTTTCTTTTCTCTTCGAACTTTCCGAGAAAACAAGAGAGAAAATTGAAGAGACGGAAGAAGGGGTTGATAGTTTCCGAGGTGAGTGGTGTTACAGAGTGAGCCAGCTTCTACGGGTCCATAGGAAATAACTTAAAAAAATAAATAAATAAATAGATGAAAAAATATAACATAATTTAAAAAAAATTGATATTAAAATATTAAGTATAATTTTGTGTCATTTTTAATAAAATTATGTCATTTGGGATGTTTGTCATTTTTTCTAATTTATAAAATTAAAAAAAAAATGAAGAAGAAAATGTAAAAACACGACAAGATAATATAATTTTATTAAATATAATATAATTTTATGTAATTTAAAATGATAAATATTTTTACATAAAATATTGAATTATTTTAAGTTAAGATTACAAGGATTGAAATGTTTGTAGGGTTTGAATGGTTCCTGTTGAACTACTAGTGATGATGTTATGGCGTTTGAATATGTTTTTTTTTACTCTTTTTGGTATTTTTTTTAAGGAAAATATAAGAATCATGTTGCAGGAATGGCACTGTTCATTCCTGCAACAAGGATACGGCGTCGTATCCTGACTTTGGTCTGACTTTTTTTTTTTAAGCGTGGGACCCACACTTGATTGGTGTGTGTAGGAAAGTGCTCTTGTCATGTCAAATGACAAAAAGGGAACCCTTTTTTTAATGTACAGAAAGAATGAAAATAGGTTATATTTATGGATTTTATGTTGATCATGTAACATAACACAACTTTACTTTCCTACACACATATTAAAGAGGTGGGGTCCACATGCTTTTCTTTATTTTTCATCATTTCACTTTCTCTCTTCTTTTTATTGTTTGTGTTGAAAATAACACTTAAATCATGTAACGTAACATTAATAAAACCCTATATTTATTTAGCGCAGTTTCACTACATTCACAGGCAGAGAACACTATGCTACGGATATTGATATTGATATTGATATCACATGACATGATATTCTAATACGTTAATTTTAAAAAATATTAGATTTTAACACGTTAGGACATACTTTGAAATTAAATAATACTTTTAATTTATATAATATGTATTATATTTAATATTTAATAATTTAACAAAAAAATAAAACTAAACTTATAATATTCATCAATTTGGCAAAGAAACATAAGATGTAAATATTTATTATTATATTTTTAAATTGAAAATCTCTTCCAATGAAATTTATTCTATATTTATTTTTAATTTTTATTATATTAATTTGGTAAAACGTTGATAAAATTTTTCATGATATGTAATAAAATTTCAAATATTATAAATGTCGGAATATGTCAAAGTTTCGGACACAACACTTCATATTTTTTGAAGTGTCGTAAATAAAACATCATAGAGGAATCAGAGGGTGAAGTGCCATTTTTTACTTTTTTTGCTTATTATTTTTTACATTTCCTGGATGGCGCACAGTTAATGCCTTGGCTTCAAAATTATAATTAGGAATTAATTTTACTTATGTGGAGGTTTCAGGATTAAATATATGGAATGCTATAGTTGTTAAAATGTTTGATTGATTTCCTTGGATGTTATTATCTTGTTATGCGTCACATATGAAAGTGTTAACGATTGTATAACGTACGAAAATGATTTGATTGAGATGCTATGAAGTTGGATAAAAAAAGTAGTGTCATTATAACCTTATTTTATATGCGTAAGTTTAAATTTTTAGCAAGGTAAAAATAATAAGGTTATAACCAATTTAGGTTTATTATTCTTACAACTCTTTAATTATAGTTAGATTACACTTAAATCAACGGATGAGTTTGAAGAGAGAAAAAACAACTGAGAGTCATTGATCTAAATATGATTTAACAATAATCAAAGAGATAATAAGTGTGATAAGCCTAGATGGTTGATAAATATAACAGCCCAAAATTAGTACATTGCTCTCAGTCTCACTCTCACTCTGAATTCCAGTGCTTGTTTTTTCTGTGCTCTGTATGTGGATGCTGCTTTGCTCTGGAGGGTGATCAACCGCACTAAAGTGGCTTAACCGCACTAAAGTGGCATTGAATGATGAGTGAGATTCATTCCGATGAAATGTGATTTTATACAAATAGAAATTGAACACATTTTTTAAGTGAAAGTACACCCACATGGCAAAAAGTATGACAAGACCCACAAGGGAATGTGCACCTCTAATTTCTTGAACTTTTGTTTTATTAAAAAAAAAATACATGCAATTCGTCAGTTGCTTTGGAAACGCAAAGTTGTTTTAATGAGTTGATAATGCTATTAAAATACTGGGGTGAAGCAGCACCTTAGGACTCGAAGGTTGCCTCGATACAGATCATTAATTGTTAAGTGCCATGGCTCGATCCTGTGTATTTTTAGCACTGAAGTGTTTTTTACAAGAATTGGGGTTGAAAGTTGAATTAACAACTATTCAAAGACTTGAATTAACCATGCTCTTCAGTTGAAGAATAAAAGAGAAATATAACATAACTATAGAAATTGCAAAATTCTATATTCTACTTTTTTTAGCTTATTTTTTCATTTTGAAGTTGGCTAAGGAAAGTGTTGTAGATCTCATTTCGAAAACCTTAGGCGACGTTTGGTAAAAGAAATTTTTTTTTTTATCCGAGAATCTTGATTTTCAAAAATATGATTTTTACATTCAGTTTATGTTAATATTCAAAAGAGGTAGGATCTTTTGACACCAGTGTCAAATTTAAAATTTGACACCTCATCTGAGAGCTGTTAGATCCAAAAAGATCAACGACTAAGATTTGTAAGCATGTGACACCATTGATCTTTTTGGATCTAACGGCTCTCAGATAAGGTGTCAAACTTGAAATTTAACACCAGTGTTAAAGGATCCTACCTCTATTCAAAATTTAAAAAAATTCAATTTTTCGAAAATCTGAAGAAAAACCTTGTACCAAACGTCCCCTTAGAGTAACAAAGGCCGCAACAACTAAAAACATTGAGGAAGTAAAAAAGGAAGTTAAAACCAAAAATATGTTGCATTACCTCTGCTTTTTCATCCGTTGCATAAGCCATATATGCTACCCCGAAAAGCGAGAAGCAAGAATTTTTAAATATAGCTGAATCCCAATAAACAAATATGAAGGGAAGGTAATGCAAGAAAGGAAAATTAAAAAATTCTACTTCCTAACATGAATTGAGTCCAATAATTCTTAGCAATTCATTGAACTTGATAAAAACAGCAAGATTCGGGGATTGCAAGTGAAAGGGAGGAAACAAATTAGCTAACAAGTTCAGGTGCTATTACAGTATTCTATCAATAAGATAAAATATATCATAGCTGACAAAAGGATGTAATCAAGCAAGTGCAACAAAAAACTTTCTCGAAAACCCGAAAACTTAGTTATGCATGCTCCTTTGTAATTACAAATTTGAGGCCAGTTCAAGGGAATGCAAAAAGAAAATCTTCATTGCTTCAACTTTGAGTCTTCCTTATCCAGTCCAGAATATCAGAACAATCTTCCCTGTTCACTAAATGTCTTCATAAGAAAAGAACAGTTAATCTCTTAGCCGCAAGGAATATAATCAACATTGCGTCTTCATAAATACATAGCTATATTCTGTACTAAAAAAGAAGTAGTACCTATTTTGGGTGCGATAAGACTTAAGTTTAGTAGTTTCTCGGCCATTAATATCTTTCAACATTCTTAGGTGTTCAGGCACAAGAAGACTTCCATTCCAATCATGGTATGCATTAAGAATGAAGTTGAGAACGGTTTCCTGCCATGAGTTGTTCATCTCAAAATCAGCATAAGATAAAAAATAAAAATAAAAAGGATGGAGAAACAGAATAGCAAACATTTTCCTCAAAAAACAAAAAAGAGAAAAAAGAAAACGCTATATACAGAAGGAAACCACTAATTAGGTTTAATAAAAGGAATTTAATAAACAGATTTTTAAAATCCCATAAAATAATAGATACTAGCAATGACATCCACAATACAAGTATGACCATATGAGTAAAAAAAAGTTATTTTTTTATTTAAGTAGTTTTAAAACATTCTTAGCAGTATAAAAGCCAGTAGAGTAGTTAGGATATAATTTTATACCTTTCTTATTTTTTTTATTTCTAAAATTGAGTAAGAGACCATGAGACTTGTTGGCTATATAGTAGTATAAATAAGAAATTCCAGGAGAATGGTTATGCATGCCCATGTAGTAACAGCCAGTAGCTACTGATTCAATTGTTATACCAGAGGTTTAGAAGCATCAAGCCAGTGGTATATACGTTCGTTGCGAAACCATGTCAATTGTCTTTTCGCAAAATTCCTGCAGAAAAGTATCAAGTAAGAGCATTGCTAAATAACCCAATCAGCTACACAACTGTTCGATACCAACAAAACATGACAAGCAACTAAGACCAAACAAATATAAAGTCCACCAGAAACAAAATACCAAACAACAGCAGCGATAACATCGTGATGCATAGGTAGGATAGCACTTCAGGTGCTATAGCTTTTTCCCTTAAAAAAAGGTTTAGCATACCAGCATGTATTTTCTAGGTAAAAATTATGCTAAAAATTTAACTTAACTATGTCAAGATAGAAGCCCAATAACTAGAAATATGTTCCCCAAACAGAATGGTGAAGCACAAGCTACCATACTTGACCTAAGATAGATTAAGGTTGAGCGAGGAAAGTTTTAAAATAATAACACATGAGGAATCCTAATTATCAGAATACTAAAGTTTTTAAAACAGGACAAGCAAGTAAACATCTAAACAACCAACCAACTTGCCCAAAAATTGTTATCAGAATACTGGGATAGTGTTATTTTAAAGTTCATGAATCATAACTGTCTTTTCATCAATTTAGCACCCTATCAGTCTACTATAAATGGAAACGTTACTCTTCATTGACAAGAGAAAACATGCCTCAGGCTCACATAATTACATCTCGCCTTTTCTGTTTTGGAGAATAACTTATTATAGTTGTACTTTCCCTCTTTTCTTTCTAAAAAGAATTTCTTATCCTATGAGGAAAAAATCAATTACAAGCTTGGAGGCAAGCAAGACTGCAAATACTGAAGGCAATCTAAAGTAATCATTGATGCCATCCAATAAAAGAATGATTACAACACCAATAATTAAGTGTTATAGAACGTTAACCAAAAAAGCCAATCAATGAGCTGGAGAATTTTATCCAAATTACATATGTTGCAAAACTTCCTAAAGAGGTGGGTATTGAACATTGAAGAGTGCTTACTCTTGCACTCTTTCACTTGTTGGTCCAATCGAAAGAACAGACAGGAGATTTCAAGTGAATAGCTAAAGAAAAATGCTCTGTTACTTTTGTCCTATGATAAATAAAATGTATTACCGTGATGCTCTCTGAAATTCAGACAAGAATTTGTAAAATTCCCCAACTGAACTCTGGCCCCCTTGTTGTCTGCATCTTAGTAAGTACTCCATGGCCTGAAATTAGTTACATAAATAAAATATAAGAAAAATCATTCCAACAACATATATGGCTAATAGAATTTAAAAAAAATAAAAATCACTCCCCATTAAACCCCGACTAGCGAGGGTAGGTGTCAGGACAATCCTTATACACAGTCTTACCCTTGCATATTTACAAAGAGGTTGTCTCCCGAATTCAAACTTATGACCTTTCAGTCATAAAAGAGCAATTGTACGAATACTCCAAGTTCGCCCTCTTTCATATAGCATATACAATTATTAAATTAGGCCATCAACAATATTATATTGCTAATATCAATACAAGAAATAAAAATAGACTCAAATTTCATCTAAAACTTGCAAGTTATACATGGAAGTTGGAACATTAAAAAATGGGACAAAGTTCAGCTTATCATATTTCATAAAGCCTAATGAACTTCTAACTATGGTGCACAATACGCAGATCTTTCAACCAAACCTATTTCATTATTTGAAATTTGTAGACAGTAACAGTGAAATGTAGATATAGAGAATATTAGGGAATACTTGTCTGTATCCAATTGCTCGTGTTGCAGAATTGGAGTTTGGATGAAGACCTGTATCAAGAAGCCATTGAGCCTCAGACAAAATCCCATCCCTTCCTGCAGTCAAAGAGAACCATGAGATTTGTTGCAATCAAATACTCACGTAATATTGACAAAGAGCATAGCAAGTATTTTATAACAGAAAAACAAATGGATGTGCACATGCGTACACACAGAGAAGAATTTCTACAAAATGCATGGGGTTCGTATACAAATTATGTGTTTCCAGTTCATAATATACCTAATAGCATATCTTCACACCGATAATCAATTGATCTATAGAGGTCAAGTCTTTGGCTAGAAAGGAAAAAACACATAAATTCATAGTCTAACTCTGACGAATTGGTTTCTTCCATTGCATTTATGCTCACATCAGATGACTCAGAACCATCAGCAACACTACAATCACCCTGTTTCCTGAAAGAATCATATGGTACCCGAAAAGCAGAAGGAGGTGATCCACTAGACTGCCATTCCAAAAGAACATAAATAAATGGTGAATTTATAAATATATTTCAGACAACTTAGTAATGCACAGAAATCATACATTTCACATATACATCCACAGTAAAATAGGTACATACAGTTAATTCACTAAGAAGTAATCAGTTGGTTACAATTAGGCACATTCAAAAGAGAAAATAGCATCCATTGCAAAAGTTCAAATTTTGGATATTCTCGTTTAGGTTGTATCGTAATTCTGATTGTATTCATATTTGCACCCATATGCAACAAATGAAAGAGAGAACAACAAGCAAAGAAAGGATATTAAAAGGTCAACATTAAGAGAGTTTTCTTCAATCTTTCGGCAAGCATTAGCAGCCAGGCTATAATTTAGAGTTGCATATCATATGTGTAACTTATAAAATTGCAAGCTTACCTTAATAATCTCTAGGCTACGCCGTAACCGGTACCAATCATTCAGCGGTAAAAGTTGGGCCTTTGGATCACCAGATTTTACCACCAATTGCACAGCTGTATCCCAGTCTTCATTTCTCTGTAGGTCAGCTAACTCTAGGTCTACTTCAGATGTGATCTCTGGAGAGGCTATAGGCACATCTGGCTTTCCATATATTAACCTTATATTTCAAAGTTCAAACAAAAGAACTCATTAGATATAATGTGTCACATACGCTGGTCTATAACTACTGAAAGAAAAGAAACTCATAAATGGTGTGAAATAAAACAGTGATAATTCACTAATACAGCGGATGCCCCAGCAGCATTTGACAAAAAGTTTATTTATATTCTACAAAAGCATACTAATATGACCTTTAGCTGCTTATCCTAGTGATAACTGAACATTAACAAAGATTTGTGAACTACCATAACATACTACAAGTATAGTCACATCCTTCAAGAACACAAGTTATGCAACACTCAGAACCAAATCTGCATTACTTTTTCCTGATATTTCCCAATTATATTAATGTCCAACCATGCTACTCCCACCCATTTTTGTTTTCTCTCTTTTGTTATGTATACAAATACTTGTAATATTGTGATATGACACCAACTACAATGGTGTATTATAGGAAGTATTATAGGAGATCAACACTTCTCAATGCTGACTCAGCAAAAAAGTTAGTAGAGAATACTCTAGAAGTAGGTATGGAGGAAAATTTGTTAGGGAGGTTTGGGAAAAGCGAAGCGCCTGAATGATAAAAAAGAGAGGAAAGGAGTGGACAAGGCAGGCTTTTGGTAGGATTGGAATTGGGACTTTGGGAGAGAACAATAGCCTCTCGAATGCTACTGAGTTATCAGTTCCTTTTAGCACATTTCCCTTGTTCTGTAATTTTCCTTTACCTTGTAATTGCCCTCATTATGTATTGTTGCTTGCTGGTTTCTTACTAGAATCAGTTTAGAGAAATGCAAATTCTGTGTTCATGTTTCCAATATTTCTCTCCTTGCTTCTGGTACCTAACATATTGCTAATGAAATGAATGACTTTGTCAGAAGGTCGTGGAAACAAGAAAAGTGGATTTCATTTCCTATTTTTGCTTTCTTATTAACTTGTTACAGATACATGATACAACCACTAAGCTACAATCAAGGAGTTCCATTTGAAAGAATAAGTAGTTAAAAAAGTCAGAACAGGTAATAGAAAAAGACATACCATCTTAAATACAACCCAGTGCCCCCAACGACTATGGGAACACGGCCATTGTCAAGAATACATCTTGTAGCTTGCCTTGCGTCCTCAAAAAACTGTCCAACGGAGTAGTCTGACAAATAATAATTAGTTTTGATAAGGGAAAACAATAGTTCTTCAAAGAACCAACAATAGAAAAATCAATATGGAATATAATCAAACATGAATTTATGCCTAAACAAATATAGCTCAGTCCAACAGAAAACACACCTTCAGATGGGTGCAGTATGTCAACCAGATGATGCGGTACCTCCTAACAAGAAAAAGCAAACAAAACAAAGGTGAAAAAATAGGAAAGCAAAAAACATATAATAGATAATCCAAGTCGCAATTTCAAGGAACAAAGTGCATATGTTTCTAAGAGAGGCTATAATGTAATGCAATAATACATTATCTCAAAATTACACACCTTTCTTTCATTTGGGGAAGGTTTTGCAGATCCAACATCAAGACCCCGATATACCTGCAAAATACAAGCCAATGAAGCCATCTTGAATCAATAAACATCAAAACTTGTTCCATTATATATATAATTCATGAAAAATCAATAGCATCATTCTCACAACTCTTAACTGATTTAACACTTACCAAAATATTATCCTGCTACGATTCAAAACAAGAATACCTTTCCTCAGGAGAAAATTAATAACAAACACAAAAAACAAAAAAATTCTAAAACCCTAGGAGTATCAGACTACCACCTCATGCACAAAGCAGCAACAACAACAACAACGAAGAACCACTGCAAATAAGAGTGACGAAAATGCATGTTCTGTTTGTTTTGATGTGCGTACCTGAACAGAGTCCGCACTAACGATTTCGCCGTTGAGGCGCTTCGCGAGTTCCAAGGCGAGGCGGCTCTTGCCGGAACCGGTGGGTCCAGAAATCACTACCACCTTCTCTTTCTTCTTCGTTTCGGAGGCAGTGACGAGAAACCGCCGCCGGCAACCGAGTGAGAGCGGAGCTTCTCGGAATAGTGGTCTCTCCGGGAAATGGAGGCACGTGCGAAAACTGCACACTCCACTGTTAATCATCCTCAACATTGAGGAGGAACTGCACAACCAGCATTCCAAGTCAAGCATAGATATTAGGGAAAGGTTACAGTTAGTACCTTTTTTTCTTACTACTTGTTACTACCAAATCTTAATCATTGATTTCCGTCAATCTAACGGTTATAATTTATTAGAATTAATAATTAATTAATAAATGTGACTTAATAAATTATAGTCGTTAGATTGACAGAAATCAACAGTTAAGATTAGGTAGTAACAAGTAGTAAGAAAAAAAGGTAGTAACTATAACCTCTCCCTATATATTATATTATATATACATAAGATATATCAGATAACACGGATATATATATATATATATATATATATATATATATATATATATATATATAAGTTTTATTAATCTCATGTTAAAAGAGATAAGCTATCTCATGTCATAGAGATAAACTTGTGGGCTCCACCACCTGAAAAATAAAAATATAAAGATGACACAGTTATCGAAGGATGTGTAGGAAAGAAATTTATCATAAGTAGCATAAGAGTAATTTTTTCCTATATATATATATATAGGGTTTGCATTTATCATTTAACATGACACAATAAAGTTTTTTACACAAACAACATTTTGTGGGTTTGCATTTATCATTTAACATGACACAATAAAGTTTTCTACACACACAACATTTTGTGGGTTTGCATTTATCATTTAACATGACACAACAAAGTTTTCTACACATACAACATTTTGTGGGGTCCACACTTTTCGAAGAAGAAAAAAAAACTACGGCACGCAAAACGAATCTCTATAACATTACACAATCACTTTTCCTACAACATAACTATTATAAAACTCTATATATATATATATATATATATATATTCTTTTGTTTTGTGAAAGACACAAAAAAATTGATATTACATTGACATATATTTATTAGGAAATATTACTCTCATGTTATATAGTTTTCTTATGCTATAGAGAGAATTCAAGTGGAGTTCACCAATAAATAAAAGAGCAAATACCCTTTTTGGTCCCTAACAAAAAACATGGTCCCTACTTTAGTCCCTTACAAAAATAAATTAGTCAGTTAGTCCCTAACAAATTCAAAGTGGACCCATTTAGTTGAAATCGTGGTCCCTCACAAATTCAAAAAAGACTCATATTAGTCCCTCAAAAGGACTAAAATGGGTCCACTTTGAATTTGTTAGGGACTAACTGACTAATTTATTTTTGTAAGGGACTAAAGTGGGGATCGTGTTTTTTGTTAGGGACCAAAAAGGGTGTTTACTCTAAATAAAAAGAGGGGGTGCGATGTTCAAAGTGAGAGAACATGATATAACTATTTCATGTAAAATGAAAGTAATATTTCTCTTTTTATTAAAACTATTATGTATGTAATGTTGTAAGCTATCTCTCTTATGCAACTGTATAGACCTCATGTTTTTTTGTTTTCTCTATTTTCTTCACGTGACTTTACATAGCCCCCATATATGTTTATGTGTACAAAAAATAATTTTAATTTTTACAACATGTAAAATATCAAACTCATTTATTATAGGATAAATGTTCTTATATTGTAAGAAATAATTATTTTTTTGTAATAAAGAAATAATTTTATCTCGTATACACACATAAAAGTGTGTGAGACCTATATTTTCTTTTTCTCTCTCATATCTTCACATGGCTCCACATACTCTTAATGTGTGTGTAGGACAACGAAGCACGGACATGGCATTTTTTAAGAAAAATGCCTGTCGGACACGTGTCGCACACAGACATGTTCCGACACGCGTCCCACATGTGGTCAATATTTTAGGACACGTTGACTATCCCGACACGCGATTTTGACCGTATCGGACACGGTCAAAGGGTAGAAATGTAAAAATTTTGAAATTTTTATAAATTTAAAATAAAAAAAATTGGGAACCCAACTTGACGGTGTTGCCTGCGGCTCCGGCGAAGAACAGAGCAAAACGCCACCACCCCACCTCCATTTCCATACTCTCCGGCGACGTTGACATCATCGATGGGACCATACCATCCTTCGAGCATGAGAAGAAGAACACAACGCTACTGAAAGCTCATATTTTGAGCAAGGAGCCAGCACCGGAGAGAACATCGACCATTTGAAGGCTAGTTTGAAGAGCAGTGTAAGAACCCGCACCGTTAAATAAGGAAGTTAATTAAATAATTATGAGAAATTAGGAAATAATTCCATAATTTACCCTAATAATTATGATAAGGCTTAGTTAATTATGGTAAGTAATTAATAATGCTGAAAGTCGCTTTTCTGATGAAAAATGTAGATACCAGTTCTGCTACTCGGTATAAATGCGTACTGATAAAGTATTCCGGAAAATTATGAAAAGTGTGTATATGTCATTGGAATAATATATAGGACTTGTAAAACAAGTTTCAAGTTAAAATAATAAGAACTGGTGCCAGAACTGATATTGGCTATTGAAAAGCGCGTACCAGAAAGGTGCTGCGAAAAATAAAATAAAAATATGATAAATCTTAGAAAAATGAGTAGGATCAGAATCCTAAGTTTGGGATTAAAATGCTAAGCGTAGCTATTAATGCTAATACATTGTGTTTAAGGCTTAATGGACTATTTAAGGGCATAGCACACACTTCTAGGTCAGATTATTGTGCCTCCTACGTAGAGTTTTTCTGAAGAGCTGCTTCCACCCTCTCTTCCATGGTTTCCTTGCATGGAAAACCTCCAAGCCACCTCCTTTCTTTGATTTCTTCACCTCTAAACAAGTAAACACTTGGGTGTGAGCATTGGTGAGGGTGAAAGGTGTCATCTTCTGAGTTGAGGGTGCTGTCTTGGGTGAAGGTATGGGCCTGAGTTCTTGGGTTGTGTTGTTGGAGCCTTGTCTTGGTTGTCGGAGCTTCAAGTGGTGACCTTTGTGAAGAAAGGACCCACCTTGAAGTGCTTTTTCGTGGCCCTTTGGTTCCTGCTCTGTGGAGTGGCATTGGAAGCTCTAAATCACTGCCTTTTTCTGTTTGAAAGCTTGGTAAACATACTCAACCTTTGATCATGAGTTTTGATGGTTAAAAATGGAACCTTGATGCATGTAATTAACTAAAGTTAATAACTTGTGGTTGGGTAAGGTTAAACACACCTTAAAATGCATGTTTAAGCTTCTGTAATCGGTAAAAGTTGAACCTTTGGATTGATATCTCGCGAAATGCAGAATCTGAGTTCAGCCGCGAAATATCCGAATATTGATATCCGAACATTGATATCCGGATACGGGGTTCTGAATATCCGGATATTGATATCCGGATATTGCCAGACAGATATCCGGATATTGATATCCGGATATGCCCCAGACAAATATTCGGATATTCTGGGTTTGCGTGAACAGTAATAGTACTGTTCATACATATTGGTATTTGGGGTTTGTGGACCCTAGATTGATGAAGCGGGTACAGCATGGGCGTGTACTGTGTGAGTAATAGACGTATTCATGCACTTCTTTGATCAGTAGAATAGTTATAACACACATGACATGATTATCTGCTGCATTGCACTGATTTTGGAACTGATATTGAATTACTGCTTTTAGAACTTATATTGCACATGTAAGTGAGCTTGGGGTGGAAGATCCTTAAGGACCCCTTGTCTTACTGAGATTTCTGTTTAGAGATCTCACCCCACGTTTGGGTCACCATTTCAGGTTCAGGTAATGCCGGGGTTGAGAGTGTGAAACCAATGCGCTTAAAATGAAGAGTTCACTTATGCAAGAGTTTTGATGATAACAAACAAGCATAGAAGCAACGTTAAAGATAATACAACTTGTAACAATCAAAAGTTCAAAGAAGCAATTCAAACAAGACAACAAGAGCAAACCATTCAACACACAAGATCAAGATTGAATCATGTTTTTGAGAGCTTAGATCTAAATGTAAAGGTAATTGATTAATGATGCATAAATGAGCTCAAAGGATATTTAACTCTATGCATGCATTATCCATGTCATCTATCACTTAAAAAGCTTTAATTATTATGAAAAAGACCCTTGACATATTTCGTAACCTCAAAACATTTTGTACAAGTCAAGGAAATACATTAAAAGTGATTAGAGACTAAAAGGTATGCTTTACAACTCATAAAATTACATAATTGATTTTTCTGTCAAGAAAGTATTCGAATACTCTCTTGACTGTATTTGAATACTCTTTTGACTGTATTCGAATACTTGTGATGAGAACAAAGTATTGAATACCAGTTGAAGTATTCAAATACCTCACGAATAGTATTCGAATACTTACTGGACAGTAAGCAATATAACGGCTATAAACAGCTAGTTTTGCAAAAATGAGTGTGCAAAGAGTCATGGGGGCTCTCTATAAATAGTGATCGCTGTTCCCCTTGATGGGACACCTTTCAAAATCACAATTCTTGCTTTATTTCACATCATTTGCTTACTTTCCACCATCTTGATCATAAATCATCTTTGAGCTTTATTCTTGTGTCATTGATCAATACCTATAGGCTTCAACTTGTATAATCTGTACTTCAAGAGTACAAATCCTTTACTAAATACTCTCATTCTGTTCATTTGTGTTGAGGGTAGTGAGACCCTAGTGAAAGAGGTTGCTCATAACCTAAGTAAGTGAGTGGTAGTGTAAAGGTTTCAAGAATCTATATTCTTGAAGGTTGTAGTGGTTCGTCAAGCACCCTTGAAGCTTGATAATTAGTGGAAAATTGAACGGGCGGTTTCAATCTGGACGTAGGTCACGGTGGTGGTGACCGAACCAGGATATATAGTGTTTGCAATCTCTCTAACTTCTTATCTCTTTACATTAGCATTATTTGATTACTTGAACTTATTTATATCTCCACATTACATACTAGTTACTTGTATTAATTTCTATTCTCTAAGCTTTGCTTGTGCCAAATTATATTAAGTCAAGAAAATCGCTTTCAAGAAAGGAAGTGAGGCATTCTGTAAAAATATTTTTAAAACTCAATTCACCCCCCCCCTCCTTCTTGAGTTTGAGGCCACTTGTCCAACAAGTGGTATCAGAGCTTGGACTCTTGTATAAAGAGTTTAACCGCTTCAAGAGTAAAGATGGCCTCTTTGAACAATGATATGCCTCTTGAGGGAACTTCAACCACAAGACCTCCTTTCTTTAATGGCACCGGTTATGCTTATTGGAAAAGTAGAATGCAAATCTTTCTTGAGTCAATTCATTTAAGAATTTGGAACATTGTTGATGAGGGATATAAAGTTCCCACTAAAAAGGATGAAAGCAACAACGATGTTCCAAAGACTGTAAAGAAATTTTTGGAGAAAGAAATTAAAGACGCAAATTGGAATGCTAGGCTAGAAATTTGATTACCAATGCTTTAGGGAGAGATGAATATTTTCGTGTAGCTTCTTGCAAAATCGCAAAAGATATGTGGGATGTGCTTGAAGTAACACATGAAGGAACTAGTGAAGTTAAAGTCTCTAAAATTCTTGGATTGACTAGAGAATTTGAATTATTTGAAATGAATGATGGTGAAACTATTCAAAACATGCAAAAGAGATTAACTCATATTGTTACTCATTTGGATGCATTAGGAGCTTCATACAACAATTTGCAAATGGTAACTAAAGTTTTGAGAAGCTTGAATAGGGATTGGCAACCTAAGGTGACGGCTATTTGTGAATCAAAAGATTTAAAGAGTATGTCCATTGCTACACTCTTTGGGAAGCTTCAAGAGCATGAGTTAGAATTGGCAAGACTAACTTTGAAGGAGGAAGCCAAAAAGAAAAGCAAAGGATTAGCTATGCAAGCCACTAGCTCCAAATCTCAAGTGGAGGAGGAAAAGGAAAAAAAAAAGCTATCCGATGATGAATTAGATGAAGATGAAATGAGTTTCTTTGTTAAAAGGTATGGAAAATTCTTCAAGAAGAAGAACTTTCAAAGAAGACCTCCAAAGAGAAAATTCAATGATGAAGGAGCTTCTCAACCTCCTCATACACGTTATGAATGTGGAAAAACCGGACACTTTAAAGCCAATTGCCCTAAGCTTCAAAAGAAAGAAAAGAGTGACAAGAATCAATTCAAGGATAGAAAAAATTATAAAAATAAGGCTTATGCAGCTTGGGATGAAGATTTAAGATCATCCGATGATTCAAGCAATGAAGAAGCAAATGTATGTTTCTTGCAAGATTCTAAAGCCTCAAATGATATAAGCAAAGGAATGCAACATATGTGTTTTATGACAATTGAAAATGGCAATGAGTCGGAATCCGAGGCAAACTCCACTTGCTCTTCTATATCTCCTTCATATGATGAATTGCAAAATTTATTTGATGAATTACATAGTGAATCTTTAGAGCATGTTAAATCTCTTAGAGAAATGAGAAAGACCATTGTCTCCTTGGAAAAACAAATTGCATGCCTAAACAAAGAAGTAAAAGAGTTAAAGGATGAAAATGAAACACTTAAGTTGATTGATGCTAGTACAAATTGCATTAAATGTTTATCATCGAATGATCATGCATCATCATCATCATGTACTTCATGTGAAAAGCTAAAAAGTTAAATTGATGATTTAAACAATGTGCTAAGCAAGTTTACATGTGGTAGCGATAACTTAAATGTATTACTTGGAAAACAAAGATGTATGTTTAACAAATCCGACTTAGGATTCGACACTAACATACAAGAAAAATCCTATAAGAACTTCTTAATATCACCATCTTACATAACTAGTAGTCCTTTCATTAAATGCTATCATTGTGGTGGAAAAGGACATAGTGCATCAACATGTAAGATTATGAAGAATGGAATTAGTGGTCAAAAGAAAGTGTGGGTCCCTAAGGGAACTAGACCCATGACTAACACACAAGGACCCAAACAAATTTGGGTACCAAAGATTAAATGTTAAATTTGTTTTGTAGGTGTGCTTAAAGAGTGCTTCATCTAAATGGGTATTGGACAGTGGTTGCTCAAGACATATGACGGGAGACATTATCAAATTTCTTTCAATTACAAGGAAGGATGATGGACATGTATCTTATGGAGATAATACCAAAGGAAAGATCCTTGGCATTGGAAAAGTTGGTAACTCCTCATCAACTTGTATAGAAAATGTTTTGCTTGTTGATGGTTTTAGACATAACTTGCTTAGTATTAGTCAATTATGTGACAAAAACTTTAAAGTTGTTTTTGATTCTAAATGTTGCAAAATTGAAAATTTAAATGATGGGCAAGTTTAAGTTTAAAGACTATAGAGTGGATAATATCTATATGGTTGATTTAGATGGTATGCCTTCAAATGACGATAGTTGCTTGGTTAGTAAGGAAAATGATTCATGGTTATGGCACAAAAGAATTGCACACATTGGCATGAGTCACTTAAATAAGTTGATCTCTAAAGACTTAGTAATTGGTCTTCCAAAGCTTAAATTTCAAAATGACAAATTATGTGATGCATGTGTAATGGAAAAGCAAGTAAAGGCTTCTTTCAAGTCCAAAGATATTGTTTCAACTACTAGGCCTTTGCAACTTTTACACATGGATCTTTTTGGACCCACACAAACTATGAGCTTTGGTGGAAATTACTATGCATTTGTCATTGTGGATGATTTTTTCCGCTTTACATGGACATTATTTTTTGCTCATAAAAGTGAAGCTTTTCAAGCATTTAGAAAACTAGCCAAGTTTATTCAAAATGATAAATCTTTGAATATTGTTTCTATTAGAAGTGATCATGGGAGAGAATTTCAAAATCAAGACTTTGAAATCTTTTGTGATGAAAATGGAATTCAACACAATTTTTCCACTCCTAGGACTCCACAACAAAATGGAGTTGTTGAAAGGAAAAATCGTGTCTTGCAAGAGCTTGCAAGGACAATGATAAATGAAAACAATCTTCCAAAATACTTTTGGGCGGATGCCGTAAGCATCGCTTGCTATGTTATGAACCGTACCTTAATTAGACCCATTTTAAAGAAAACCCCCTATGAACTTTACAAAGGAAGAAAACTAAATATTTCACATTTTCATATTTTTGGTTGCAAATGTTTTGTTTTGAACA